TAATGATTCTAATGTTAAATAACTGATTTCTCATAATTGCATACATTTTGTCCTATTTTTCCAACCTCAGAAAGTTAATTTAAGCTCATGACTTGAAATCTAAAATTGTTATTTACACTTCTTATCTACCTTTTTTTAGAGACATTTTTTATGCATAATTATATGTAAAAAGTACTTAAGAACATGTAATAAAGCTATATTCAATATAGGTAATACACAAGTACTCCATCGAAATGTATTTTCGTGTTCTTAGTGTCAATATATTTTCAAAGCATCAACGTACTTTTTTGGTTTCTTAAATACTTACTCATAGTTTTGTCATAACTAGGGCTACAATCTTTTCAAAATATATAAGAAATAAAAGTACTATTAGAATATGTTTTATCTGTTTTTGTTAAAATAGCCTATGGAACGTTATAGATTTTAATTTTATTACCTACATATATTTTTCCGCCTGTTTTATCCTTAAAAAGTGTCTCTTTATTAAAAAAAAATACTATGTAAAATATTTCTTAAAAAATATAAGTAATTTAGATCAACACCGTATAAATACCCATTTTTATTTAAGAAAAATCTTTCGTCAAGGTTCAGATATTACGATAACGTAACAAAGTTTTATTTTTAATATACCTACAACTTTAGCTTAAAAAAATTGCGCGCTGAGTGGTCAAACCTTAAAAAATAAGCGGAGCGAAAGGGTTAATATAATATAGAATTGTAATGTCATACTATAATAAAACATTATATAATTTAGATAAAACATTATTTGAATACATTTGCATAGTAAGTAATAATACATCGTAATAATGCGTTATTACAACTATCAAATTATCATAACAATACGTCGATTTGCAATGAAAACTCTACTTCTAAAAGAAAAGATACAAATTATTTATAGTATTTTTTAAAATTATTCAAAATAGTTTTTATAGTTAAAACTTAATTACTTGAAAGAAGCTAATTGAAACTCACCGCAAAAGAAATATATTGTAAATTATAAAGTCGACTAAAAATGTTTTAGTTTTCAGCCTTCAAATAAAATCCTATGTAAATCCAACAAAAAAGTAACACATTTTTTTAGGAATAAACCGGAAATAAGGAATAACCCGAAAAAAATTACAATAAAGCTAAGATTTAATATATCTACCTAGAAACATCTCTAGAGTCACCAAAAATTCGTCCCGCATGAATCCCATGAATCTTACACAAAACCCACATTTAACCCATGTGGGACAAAGTTTTTTTTTCACAAAGAAATTTGTGTAAAAACATAAAGGCACAAGTAGTATGTAAAAAGACACTATTAAATAGATATACTGGAACCCATCGTGAGAAAATTTGGAGGAAGGACATAGTAAGAACTGAGTACATGACTATAATACTACAATCTAAGAGCTCGGAAACTCACTTAAAGGTAATTTCTTTATCTGACACTTTACCACCTTTTCTAGGTGATAAAAAAACTTATCTTATAAAAGTATCTGATACAATCATGCCAATTAGATATTTAATGATGTTGTTTTTGTAGTTTGACCAAGTTCGGGCTTTACCACGAAAGATAAAAGGTTTTTTAATGAGTATGACTGTGCATTTCAATTATCGCACACATTAATACAAATTTTTGTGAAAACATTGTGGCAAAATTTTCCCCAACATACATTTCCAGCGAAACTGTTAAAAACTTTACCTTTTCAGCAATAATTGGAAACTAAAATGAATACATTCTTGTAATTGTTTGCTTAAAAAAACCAAAAGCTAAACTTTAAGTCATTGTTTACATATCCTAGTTTGATTTTTATTAAATTTATAAACAAATGGTTATTTTTTTTCTTTTTTAATTAACAGCAACTGATACATTTATGTAACTAAGTTTTATCTCTGTAAAAAATTTAAAAGAAAAATATTAAACCAAACTAAAGATATCTTTGTTAGAAGGTAGAAAATCTTTAAATAGAGAAAAACGCATTGGAAAAAAAAATTCAAAAATAAAAAGCTACAAATTCAAATATGGTCTTACTTTAGTACTTTTGACCAATGTCATTTAGTTTAGGAATAACTTAACAGTATAGATAAGAACTTGGTTAAGGTACAGTAAGAATATGAAGAAAAAGTGCCTATTAGCTCTGGAAAAAAAAAGTTCCAACTGTTGCAAAGGCCGTTGCTAAGGAACTTTTAGATGTTTACCACTTTTTAAAACAACAAAATTAGGGGCAACTTCTAACTTTTTTTTCCATTGTTACATACTTTTATTGTTTATAAAGGTTAAAATTCCAAAAAACAGAAAAAAATATGTATATATTTTTTTCAGACTTTTAATAGTGGGTAACCTTAAAAATGCAATTGCATCTCCTAAGCAAAACAATAATCAAGAAAATTATTTACAATTGAATAAAGAAAATATTTTTATTAAGCCAGGTCATTGATTACCTTTAATCTTACATTATTTTTAAGCGTTGAATTTTTATAAATAACTTTTTATAAGCCTGAGCAATTAGATTATGATTTAAAAGGTAAACATCTGACAGATGTTCAACTATTAGAATCATATCTAAAAGAACAGAATTTGCAGTTTATCTTGTGATTACTAAAAAAATAACTGTTAGTTTTAAAAATCACTGCAGTTTTTATTTACAGAATGATCTTTACAGAAATAGCCATTAACTTAATTATTATTTTAGAAAAATTTAAACTTTAAAGGAGTAAAAACGTCACAAAAAATCAATTTACCACTTGCATGTGTACTTGGTTGTTTCCTGCTGCTTTTATTGTTGTTGCAACTGACTGGACTGTATATAAAATATTAAATGAAATTAAAGACGCGATACTTAATTAACAATAAAAAAAATATTTATGCAGATTTCAGAATATTATGTAATATAGCTATATCCCAAGGGGCATTCAAACATTTAATCAACGTTTAGTTAATGTTCGTTCTAAATGTTTAGATTTAATTTAGTTTCGATTTAGAACGTAGGTCAATCGAATGTTGCTATTTAAACTCCATCTAAATCTTTCGTTTAAAACTTTGCGACGCTAAATTTTATTTTACGGCGCTTATTTAAAGAAGGATAAATAAATACAAAATAATGATAAACGAATCAAACTCTTCTTTTATTTAAGCTGTTTTAAATAAGCACCGTTAAGAAAAGTTAAACGCTGAACGCAGTATCTAAATACTCATAAACAAATCAAACATTAAACGAATAATTTTTTATTTAAATAAGTTTAAGACACAAGTAAAATCATTTTATTTATTATTGTATGCATTATCGCATTCCTGATTATGATCGGCTCCATAATGATCATCGTCATCTTTGTTTGAACTGATTAAGCCGATTAAAAATTGGAAAAAAGGACATAACCTTTCCTATTTCAACCTATACGGAAGAGAACCTTTCTAAGATGGGAATCAATGCACGATACCGTATTGCGGATACCGAAGTCATAGAATCTCTTTTCTAAAAATAATAAAAATAACTCAATAAACATCTTTATTCTATTCATATAAATCATTCATTTAACAACTTTATAAATCCATAGTTTTATAGATTATAAAAAGATTGTACATTAGTACAGTGTACATTGAGTAACTATAGTAATAATTGATAGGCAACTTTTCTTTAAAATAATTTTTTGTAAAATATATAGTATTTTACAGAAAAATATTTATAATTTCTTTAAAATATTTTTCTGTAAAATACATAATATTTATATAACAAAAACTTATTAAAAAAACTTGTAGTTATCGCAGTTATGGGTTGATAAGTTGCATAACTGCAAGACAAGTGCACTGCCCTTCCTAATCATAGTAATACAATATTATATATATTCTATTACTTTACAACAATATCTGTACAACATATATATATATATATATATATATATATATATATATATATATTTATTTACCTTCCCAAGGCCGGTGGGGGCCACTACATTTGAGGCTACTTAAAGGCTACTCATTATATATATATATATATATATATATATATATATATATATATATATATATATATATATATATATATATATATATATATATACATATAATGAGATATATATATATATATATATATATATATACATTTATACATATATATATATATATATTATATATATATATATATATATATATATATATATATATATATATATATATATATATATATATATATATATATATATATATCTTTGTACATATATATATATATGTACATATATATATATATATATACATATATATATACATATATATATATATATATATATATATATATATATATATATATATATATATATATATATGTATATATATATAATATATATATATATATATATATATATATATATATATATATATATATATATATATATATATATATATATATATATATATATATATATATATGTATATATATATATATATATATATATATATATATATATAGATATATATATATATATATATAGATATATATATTTATATGTATATTTATATGTATATATATATATATATATAAAGTTTGATAACTCCCATTATTCATTGTCTTGAGGAGCAGTAGGCACACTCAGTATCATGTTTGATTGAAACTTTCTATTTAATTGAAAAGTTGTGGAGATACCGACAGTTTTACAACAATATAGATAAACATGTAAAAATAAAATTGTAATTCCTAAAATCTTTAAAGTTAAAAACTAAACAACAAACATAACAATTAAAACTTATATATCAAAATCATATACGTACTAACACGCAACTCAATGTAAAAATTAAGTATTACTTGATCAATCCATTAGTTTGTGCTTTGATATAGTAGTTATGTGGATAATGGTATATTAGACCTCAAATTTTGGGCTTACAGAAAATAAGACTTTGCAAGTACTGATGGGTTAGCTAAAATGTAAATAACTATATAGATATATTATGTATACAAAGTTATTTTAAATAAAAATTTACTAAAACATTGTAAATTTGATTTTAAAAAGTCAATCCTAAAAGGCTTACATTGCTAAATATGTTCACAAGTCATAAAATTAACAGGTTTATTTAAAAGTAAAGGAGTTCTATATAAAAGATATAAATTTAGATATCTTACTTGATTGGTCCATTCTACAGTCTTTTGGTATTGTAGTCACACTTGATTTGACTAAAGATAACTTAGAATGCAATTGAATGCTTGAGATAAGGTGGCTGTGGAGGTGGTGATGGTTTAACTAAAATGTAAATCCGAGTGTATATTGTTTGAGATATGCTCATTACAATTATTATTAGTCTTCAAAAATGTAAAGTGCATACATACTTACTTACATAATCAATTGAATATACTTGCGGTACCACATAAATAATCTTTTTGTATAATTAAACATAAGTAACTTTTTTTTTATACTTAATGCATTCATGTTATATTATAATATAGCATGCATGAATAATGCATGCAGGTATTTTTTGAACTAAGGTCTTCTTAAACTTTATTTCATGTTTATTGTAACATCAAATTAGCTAACCTGTCAATATTCGTACCTTTTGCATTAACATTCCACATAAAATTCTTCCTTAACTGAAAAATAAAAACTATTTTACTATACCTCAAAAATGGTTAATCATTTACTAATTAAAACTTGCTTCTTTATTTTCTACATAAAAATTAGAACAAACTAAATAAAACTATTATTTTATTATATATATATATATATATATATATATATATATATATATATATATATATATATATATATATATATATTTCAGTTTCTGACATTTAAAACTTTTGCAATCCTTATAACAATCTGTAAAAAGAATAACAAAACATCTTATCCAAAGCAATGACAAATAAATTTAAAGAGTAAATTATTAAATATTTTGTGAATAAAAATTATAATATCACAAACTAAAATAACAATTCAATAAAATATCAAGCTTTTGGTTCTTCCAACCAAACAGCCTGGCGATGTGACATTTTGCTAAAATGTTAACACTAATTTGGTTGAAGGTACATCAACACATAACATTAATTTGTAAGTAAACTTGTTAAAAATGTTTTAAATAAGTTTAGTCGTCTAGTTTTTTAGCTTTTTTTGTCAACTTTAGTTTTCCTAATTCCAATGGATGATATACATATACATACTATATATTTCAACCAGTAAAATTTCAAGCTTGGTAGGTCTGTCATAACATAATAAAATAAATGAAAAATAATGCAATAAATATTACAATAGCTTTTAGATATAGAGCATAAAATAAAAACAGAACAATTTGAATTCTATTTTAACTAATTTAAACTTTAAAGACTCGAACCAATCATCAACGTACCTTTCAAATATAACAGGAGTTACCTTTAATCTTACATTATTTTTAAGCGTTGAATTTCTATAAATAACTTTTCATAAGCCTGAGCAATTAGATTATGATTTAAAAGGTAAACATCTGACAGATGTTCAACTATTAGAATCATATCTAAAAGAACAGAATTTGCAGTTTATCTTGTGATTACTAAAAAATAACTGTTAGTTTTAAAAATCACTGCAGTTTTTATTTACAGAATGATCTTTACAGCAATAGCCATTAACTTATTTATTATTTTAGGAAAATTTAAACTTTAAAGGAGTAAAAACGTAACAAAAAATCAATTTACCACTTGCATGTGTACTTGGTTGTTTCCTGCTGATTTTATTGTTGTTGCAACTGTCTATAAAATATTAAATGAAATTAAACAGGCAAAACTTAATTAACAATAAAAGATATATTTGCGTGGATTTCAGAAAATTATATAATATAGCTATATATATTATTGTTCAAGCCATGTTAGTTTTTATCCTAAATAAAAAATAAACGATACAATATAATAATCTATCATATCAGACTTAAGTAAGTTTATTTCCTCTTAAGTGGTTATCAAATAGGAGTATGAATAATACTTAAATTTTTAAAAATATTTTTTAGTTTACACCAAAAGCCTACACTAAAACTAAAGCTCAATTATATAAATATTTGAACCTCACATTTTTCGATTGGCACTGTCTGCACTATAAGTATAAATATTAAAACATTGCTATTCGATCAGTATAACATTTATCATAATTTATGAAAGATGTTATATTGATCTGTTTATGACATAAACAAGTAGATGTTAGGTCTTAATGTAAACAAAAATAATTATTTTGTTTAGTTATTTAAAAAGTAGTTACCATTTAAAATGCATTATTTTTCTCTAAAACTTTTAGAAAAAATTAATGCATTTTAAGTGGTAATTATTTTTTATAATTTTTCTTCTTTTAGTAAAAGTAGAAAAATAAGGAAACAAAGACTTAACTATAGACGTTCTATAGCGTTGTTAAAAACCAAACAGAAAAAACAATTTAAGAAATAATTTAAAAAAATGCTGAAACTGATACATTTTTGAAACTACTGCTACTTTTTTGAAACTGCTATATTAGTAGCAATAACTAAAAGAATTATCAAAATGCATAGTTACTGTACTTAAAATTACTTTTGATCGCTTATACAACATTATCGAAGAACTTACAGGACTTTTTAGCTGCTTCATTAGCTACAATATAATACTAAAAACAAATTTCTTTTATCTTTTCTAAACCATTTATTTCATAATTTAAGATTCTTAAGAAATTCTAATTTTTAATCATAATGAAAGATTCAAAATTTCCGACAAACTTTGTGCGAAACTAATTTAATTAAGTTAGTTCCTTTCGGAAATCGTTTGATTTAGCTTTTCAACGCAAATTAAATATTCAGAACACGTTCAGAATAGATTCCTAAACGTTTAGATCAGCGTAAATGCCATCTAAACGTGATCTAAACCAATTTTAAACCAACAATTGCCCGTTGGGATATATTATTGTTCAAACCATGTTAACTTTTCTACTAAAGAAAAAAAAATGATACAATATAATAATCATATCAGACATAAGTAAATTTATTTTCTCTTTAGTAGTTATCATATAGGAGTATGAATAATACTTAAATTTTTGAAAAAAATTTTTAGTTTACATTAAAAGCCTTCACTAAAACTAAAGATCTATTATATAAATATTTCAACCTCACAATTTTTAATTGGCACTGACTGCACTAAAAGTATAAATATTATAACATTGCTATTCAATCAATATAACATCTATCATAAACAAATAGATGTTAGGTTTTAATATAAACAAAAAATAATAATTTTATTTAGTTATTTAAAAAGTAGTTACGACTTAAGAGCCATTTTCTGAGAAAATCAGGCAAAAGTGCTGTCGGCTCAAAAGTGATATCCTTTAATCGTGCTCAATTTTTTATACAGTAATGCGAATAGGGTAAAAAAAAAGCCTGTAAGTTTTTAAAAAAAAGTTTTTAAAAAAGAATTTCTAGTTCCTGAGTTACGATCGGTCAAACTTTTGCCCTTTTAATACTTGGAAAGTCACTTTTGGGGTTTTGTGATTTTTAAACTAAGATTAAAACCAATGAGACCACTGCACACTAAGTTTCTTTTCATATTATGGAAGTATAGGTAGAACTTAAAAAAAAAAATCAAAAAAACCGAGGATAACCCTTTCTTTGTCTGAAAATCATTAGCTTAAATCACACATTTTTGAATTTAGGGTCTATTTTAAATACATTTATCTCGGAGCGTAAAAGGTGCCCGTAACTTATCTTATTATTTTTTGAAAGAGTATTTCATTTTTATTTGAATGGTCTAAAGAAACTTAGAGGATATTGTTTACAAAAAAACTTATGAGTCATCAAGGTGTCAAAAAATGTTTTTATTAGCGTTCTAATATCACCCATTATGGGAAATGGAAAAGGTCCCAAGATTAAAGATACAGATTTTATATTACTCCACACTACAATTTTTTTAATGCAAAAAAAAAGCTTAGGGGGTAATATTTTATTGTTAAAATAACTCTACCACAAAAAGTTAAATTTTTTATATATTTAAAAAAAAAAAAACGAATGTAGCAGCGGAAATAATCAATATATTATATGACGTCCTTATCTTATTATGTGTTTGCTTGCGTCATAAATCAGTTTTACATATCCTATATCTTTGATTTTAGTGCATTGTTGCTTGAAATGCCTTTTGGGCTTTTTCAAATCGATCATCCATAAGTTTATATATATATACCAATTGCCTATATAAATTACAACAATCTAATCGTTTTCATGCCATGCACTAGATAAATCAATAGCAATGCTTATAAATTCCTTTTCAAATTCTTCATTTGCTAATTCTTCTTGATCTACAGAAAGAAAAATATAAATATTTATACAAACACTTATACAAACACAAATATTTATAATTACAAAATAATATTAAAATATATATTAATGGAAGTAGATATAAAAATTATTACCTTGATCTGCTGTCTCTTCTTCTTCTTCGTTATCCGCATTAGTAATACCAACATCAATTGGTTCATTTAATCTATTGTCTTTTTTCAGCCTGCTCCAACGTGAAAATAGTGATCTTATTTGCTGAGTTGTTACGTATTCTGAGACTTAAAGCTCTTTTCTTATCAAAAGGTACACCTGCTCTGGGCTGAACTTTTTTCCAGATACTTCACCTTCCATAAAGAGTTTATATAATATACCTTTTTGTCTCATACTATACCAGAAGGTACAGCGTGTAGGTAAAGCCCAAGGTAGGTAAAACCTTTAACATATTTGCTAATGTCAGAACATTCTTCTTTAATCACCTCCTGTTGTGAGTTTGGTTTATAACTATGTGAGTTTGACTGATTTTGCATCTTCATTATGAATCTCTGTCTCACGTTATCCATTTCTGATTTTAAAGTGCTGATAATGTGTCTTCCCGACATCATGTATTGAATGATTCATTACAAATTGACTCAGAGCAAAAGTGAAACAAATTTAGTGATCTATCTTCGCGCAACTTTTCCTTCATACTGTTTTTAAAAACACTTGTTTTCTTGTCAGTGTCACTATATGGGTGTGTTAATAACATTTGCAGACTATAATTGACATTAGAATATTCTTGTTTAACTCCTTCGCCAACTGCATAGTATCGCCACATTGTCATAAAGTTATGAAAGAACTCAAACGAATGATACTGACTTATTTTAGCTATTTTTGTTCCACTCAGCTTCCTTATGCCCTTTATAGTTGCAACACCAACAGCAGAATTTTTCAGCCCATGTCTGTAATGTAAAGCAGTATAAATGTCCTATGCGCACACCAAATCGTTACCAGCATCAACAAAGCTACGAATCAATGACTGCTCCGGCAGCTTCCCTGTCGCACTGATCCTTGCCATGACAAGGTTCGTTATAATCGTAGCGCCTAAGGTGTATTTGGTTATTTTTGCACAACATAAAAAGGGCTTCCATTATAAAGTTGCCATGGTACGATGAAGCATTGTCAGATTTTGCAAAGAGTTTGTTAACACCAGAATGGTCATGCTTAAACTTTGGAAGAACTAATTGGGCAATTGATAGTGTTTCCGATAAACCTTGCTCACACCTATAAAGAGCTGTAAAATACACCTTTTTCTGTAAAATGTTGTTTTTCTTAGTGAAGAAAATGTGTACATGCAGTGACATCCCCTTTTTTCCAAAATATTCTTTTTGACCTTCCATGAATTTGGATGGTAGAACTTTTTGGCAATAGTCTTTCAAACCAAAATCCAGTTTCTTCATCAAGACTTTAAAAAGCAAAAACTTTGGCTTTTTTTTGTTGACAATCACGCATTAAATGTTTTTTACAATCAATGATATCTTTTTCAGCAATTTCAATATCATAAATAGTATCCTCGTCGGCTGAATTATTTGATGCTAATCTTTTTATCTCAACTAAGGATTTGTTTAAATTTTCACACTCATAACAAATCTTATCATTAGGTGCTATTGAAATCTGTTGCAATTGCTTGTTGGTTAAATCACTCAAAGCAAATATTGGGCAGTGGGAGATAGAATTAGGGTAGGTCGCACTGCAGTTAAACTGGAAATTAGTTTTGTAATATCGTTTGCTGCGTTCAAATAAATTACTTAGCTCTCTATTCTTGCACTTCAAAGATAAATCTTGCAACATAGAGAAACCATTCATAGCTGCAGCAGTAAAATCATCCAGACCCGCTAAACATTTTTGCTGAGATGGTTTAACAGCATGAAGTATTCGCCACAAACTGCTTTCCGATAAAGAAGAGTAGTTCTCACTTCTGCAAACTTCATAATAAAATGCAATGGTATGACTCATTTTAGCTGTCAAAACTGCACGAGATATTTTACATACATCATTTGAGTCAAATTTAATTTTTGTGACTCCATATGCAAGATCTTGAAGAAGGTTGCAGTTAAATATGAAATTGAGAAAATGTTCAGCTTTTTCCTGGTCTAGTCGATTTCGCTTAATTTCTTTTTCGACAGGAATAGTTATACCTATATTAGCATTCTTCATTTTTCGTGCCTGGTCTATCTTGTATTTGGAGCATCCAAAAACTTTCATAAGTAGCTTCTTAGTAAATTTTTCATGTTCAATTAATACACAGAACAATATGTTTACCCATAGAGTCACTTTCTTTATAAATTTTAACAAATTTTTTTAGATCATCAGGCACTGTATCAATGTCTGAAGTTTCCAAAGACCTATTTAAAACAATTGAGATAAAGTCTTCACTCTGATTTGGGGCAACAGCTTCAGCGAACCTCTGTGCAAGCTGTACTTTGGCTCGTTTAAATTTTCTTTGTAAATTTATTTTGGTTCCATTGCTGAGATCAGCTATCTTTTTGTTCTTTATTTGAAACTGAAAAGAGCTGATGTGGAGTGCTTCTGATAGGTTGTTACCAGTAGATGTAGCACCTTCAACCTTTTCTCCATAAAGTAAAATTTCTTTAGGCTCAAAATCAAAATCAGTTGTGTCCTCAACTAACTCTTCGTTAGTGGCAGTACTTGTTTTAGTTTGAATAAGAATGCGCTCTGACTTAAGGTGATTGTGACAAAATACGGAACCTACAGGAACATTTTTGTTGTAATGTTTTGAAAAATTTGTTGACATATTTATTGAAACACTTCTTACAGCTGGTGATTTTTGACAAACACAACACTTAGTTCATGCAATGGATGACAGTATCTTCTTGGAGGAACCCAGCCAATACCTTAAACTAAAAAAAAAATCAAAATTTGAAATATTTATTTTAAAGGTTTAGTAATTAAATTTTGTTGTTGTTGAAATACGGTTGTAAACAAGTTCTTACCAAAGTTAAATCTGTGGTAAGGATGTATATAGTCGTTATCAAAAAGTAATATGCACCCTCGGTTTTCTATAAGAGACTTTTCTGTCCATTCGGTCTCTTGGTGCACCTTTAAAACCTAAAAACATTAAACTTATATATTATGCAATGTAAACTGAAGGAATTAAACAACAATTGTTTACACAACTATATGATGCTAACGGTTTTTTTTACAACTGCTAAGAGCATTTCTTACTTTAATTTTTACTAAGTGTGCTTTGACATCCAAAGTCAGATCAAGTCAAGATACAAATCTTGAATAACCTTTTTTTTTTAAAACGAGGATATGTTCCACACTTGACATCATTAACTTTGCAAACATTTTCAACAACAACTTCTTGCTCTGACATATTTTTTGTAACTAAGTGTTTTTTTTTTAAAGTACATTTAGCATAAAATGCTCATTCTCTATTTTGAATAATTCAGAAGTAAATGCTCAATAAACCATACTGAATAGCTGTAAATTAAGAAATAATGCCTACAATAATTAATTATGTTCAAAAAACATCAAGTTAAAAATGTTTACTCGAAAAAAAAAAAATTCAAGTCTACAATCGTATAAATGAAAAAAGAAAAAATCAGATTTAGCATCATTTTGACGTAAAGTTATTTCAGCAATATAATATTACCCCCTAAGTTTTTTTTTCGCATTTAAAAAATTGTAATGTGGAGTAATATAAAATCTGTATCTTCAATCTTGGGACCTTTCCCATTTCCCATAATGGCTGATATTTGAACGCTTATTAAACATTTTTTGACACTTTGATGACTCATAAGTTTTTTTGTACACAATATCCTTTCAGTTTCTTCAGACTATTCAAATAACAATGAGATACTCTTTCAATAAAAAAAAAATAAGATAAGTCACGGGCACTTTTTACGCTCCGAGATAAATGTATTTAAAGTAGGCCCCAAATTCAAAAATGTGTGATTTCAGCTTATGATTTTCAGACAAAGAAAGGGTTGTCCTCGGTTTTTTTGATTTTTTTTTTAAAGTTCTACCTATACTTCCATAATATGAAAAGAAACTTAGTGTGCAGTGGTCTCATTGGTTTTAATCTTAGTTTAAAAATCACAAAACATCAAAAGTGACTTTCCAAGTATTAAAAGGGCAAAAGTTTGACCGACCATAACTCAAAAACTAGAAAAATTAAAAATATGTAAAATTGAGACTGATTGAAAGATCACTTTTGTACATTGCCTGATTTTCTCAGAAAATGGCTCTTAAAATGCATAATTTTCCTCTAAAACTTTCAGAGAAAATCTATACATTTTAAGTAATAACTATTTTAGCGTTGTTAAAAACCAAACAGAAAAAACAATTTAAGAAATAATTTAAAAAAATGCTGACACTGCTACTTTTTTGAAACTACTGCTACTTTTTTGAAACTGCTATTTTAGTAGCTATAACTAAAAAAAAAAGAATTATCAAAATACATTGTTACTGTACTTAAAATTACTTTTAATCGCTCATACAATATTATCGAAGAACTTACAGGACTTTTTAACTCCTTCATTAGCCACAATATAATACTAAAAACAAATTTCTTTTATTTTTTCTAAACCATTTATTCCATAACTTAAGATTAATAAGAAACTCTAATTTTTAATCATAATGAAAGATTCTAAATGTCCGACACATTTTGTAAGAAACTAATTTAATTAAGTTAGTTCCGTACGGAAATTTTTTGCTTTAGCTTTTCAACGCAAATTAAATATTCAGAACACGTTTAGAATAGATTCCTAAACGTTTAGATTGACGTAAATGCCATCTAAACGTGACCGAAACCAATTTTAAACCAACAAATGCCCGTTGGGATTGCTCTCATAACCATCAAATTTAGATTAATCAAAATCATATTGATTTAATATTTTTTCTGAAATTAATATAAATTTTTAGCATTATGTGGCCCATATATTCGTTGAAGACCAAGAACTGTTAGCTTTTTACTGAAATCGGCAAAAGTAACTTGGCAGCATAAGGCAAAAAAATTAGCCATTTGACGGCTATCCCAGAAGTCAGCTAATAATGTAACAGTTTGGCTTTTCTAAGATTGTTTTTTTTTATCTTTTCAACTACCCAGCAAGCACAACGACGTCGGTACGACATCGTTTCGACGTCACGAGGTTGGTCGTTATGACGTCGCTGTAATGTCGGAAAAGTGTAACAATTTCACGACGTCGTATTCGGGGTGAAAAATAGACGTCGATACGACGTCGCAAAAAAGATCTTCAAAATGTCGTTTATTGGTCGGAAAGCCGACTAAATATGCCTCTCTTGTTTTTAAATGCAATTTTTATATTTGTTATTCATAAAAATTATATTATTTATTTAAATAACATCTTTTAACAACCACACATGTATGTGTTTTAAATATTTAAATATTTA